TTATCTATTAATGATTGATCCTTCTATATTTTCATTTTAGGAGGATGATAGGTATTTTATCTTGAATATTGTGATAACGGAGATATTTTTGCGCCTCCGTGAATGGATCTGCCCATCTGCAAATGTGTTTGCGAAATTTCTGGAGTTCATAGAAAATGCACTGCTCGGCAAGGTCTGCTTCTTGTAACCATCTTGCACTTCTTTATCTGTTTTCTTTCAGAACTTGCTCATTAAGGTAAAAACCAACAGCTATCAGTTTGAAATTTATGTCATGTAAAAGATTCAAAAGGTTATGTTTTATACCCATTGTAGTTTGTTATTGGAAAACTAGTGAACAATTAAGTTTGGCCGGAGGGGGTGCCTGCATGTGGGACCGCATTATAGTGATGATGGTTATGTGCCTTACATTGAAACTTGGCTGACAGTCATTGCAATTCCTTGAAGATGAGTGTTTACCTGTTCATGATCTTTCAAATTTCAGCAATTCAAAGGGTTTGATTGTGGATTATAGTAGTGAATAGACCTTGGAAAGGTTAAGAATGGGTGAAATTGGAACACGGTTTAACATGGCTGAAGTTGGTGAAGTTTTAGTGCAAAAAGTATTATGTAAAAGTTGCTCTTCTTCTACTTCTTTTCATTTTTGTCTTTGTTTTTTTTGTTGTTTATTCTCTTTGTGGTTTGCTTGATGAATCAATTGTCTACCACAAAGTAATTTTTATCTGCTCATGATCTTTGCATTTTCTATTGCATTAGAGAATTTCAAAATTTTTTGTACTCTTCATAAAACTTCGCTGGATTAGTTTATAAGTTTACTAAATTATTTTGATGCTTTTCGACTATAAGACTTGTTTTGTATTATTGAGTGCTGACCATATGGAATTGGTTTCTCATAACTTGCATTTTGCAGATTTGTAGTAGCACGAGGTCTGGTAAAGCAACATGGGAAAAGCATGTACCTTCATTGCTTCCTTTCATTCCAAAACTTGTCTCAGAAGTGACAACTGATTGGCAGTCACACCTTCTTGAGGTTGAGTTTTATTTTGAAAGAGCATTATTTAAGCAAACTACATTCATTGGTTTTTCTCATGTTTTCTTGAGCTGGGGTTTTTTGCCCTTTGGCAGCCATGTGCTGGTAGATTTTTGTTTCAGAAGTCTTGAGAAATGCTAATTAGCCGATTAAAACTTTATTGCAGGCATTTACAAAGACATTCAGGGATTGCAATCCGGAGTTTTCACTTAAATTGGCTTGCCTGTCCATGATTGAAGAAATGCTAATTCCTGTAAGCTCAATTAGATACAATTTGTCTCTCTAAGAAGTGATCATATGCAGATGCATGTGCACATACAACCTTTTCTCTCTTTCGCTGCCCTCAGTTACACCACCAGAAAATTAAATTCAATACTCTTGTTCAAATACAGAGAGGAGATATGCACTACATGGAAGCAAGTAATCCTGTGGCATTAGACTATCAGACTATTTGGATAAGAGAGCTGCCCTTGTTGCTAATCCTTCTTGGTGATAAATGGCCATCCTCTTCCCAGGTATTAATCTGTGTTTTATCTTATGAGGTTCACCAGCATGATTAGGCTTTGGACAGAATTATTGTACGTTGAAAATGTTAGAGCATCTTGTAGAGTTATAATTATCTTCCCAATGATCCACTTTGTTGTTAGTCTTCAAAATAACAGTAACTATTTCCCTTGCCCCTCAGGTGGTGTTGCACCTTCTACTTCGCCTGGGACAATTTGGATGTTGGAACTCTTCCCTCATTTGGGAATATGAAAATACTCAATTTGCACTCTGTGAGTTTTACAGCACATGTCGAGAAGGTATAGGTTAATTCATAAAGAAACATTAGTTGTTGAGACAAACCTACAAACTCTAGATTTGTTTTGTCCATTTATTTCCTTTTGTTGCAGGAAACATATACTATGGTCCTTTCATGAGACTTCCTAGGGATTCTCAAGAGCTGTCTATCTGTTGCCTTTATTATTTCTCCAACTTTAGTACACTTTTGCTGAAATCAATAGCTGCCTGCTGCCTGTGTAAGTGCTACTTACTATTTGCTGGTTTTTGGAAAAACCTTGGACCTTAGGTTCTTTTATATTAAAATTTTATTTTTGTGATGCCAAAACCTTTAAATAAATGAATCTTGGGAAACCAAAATGAAAAAAAAGAAGGGTTAGAAGTGTTCAAAAAAAAAAAGCGGAATAGAGTTTCAGACATCCCAAAAAGGAAAGTTGGACATGTAATATAGGAAGGATGCAGTATTATTTTCCTTTACTGAAAGAGAGATGTACTAAATTTCCCAAATTCATCCCTATCAAAGAAGTGAAATGTATATTTAGACATATGTGGTGCTAGGTGTTAATAGCTCTTGTTCCCTTTAGTAGAAGATCTTAACTTAAATTTGGTGAAGATGTTTAAAATAGAAAAGAAGTTATATGTCATCTGATTGTTATAAAACATGTCATTCTTTAATATCTGCCTCCTTTGTATATTGCAGGTCCTGAATTGGAGCCCTATGTATTGTTCCGCATTGTAGAGGTTGTGCATGCTGCCTATAAAGCTGGACACATCCAATTTGCTGACCACATCAGCTTCTTCATTACTTTACTATCTCGTTTCAAAGTTTACCCTGGTATTAGAAATTTCATTCACCTTTCATGTTTTGTTGATTATAACTTGCAGTAGTTGGTACATTCCTTTTGTTTTTAACATTTCTAAATATTTTGAGTATTAGCATGCTCCATAATGTGATGATTTGTAATGTTTTGACTTTAATAATAGCAGAGAGGTTGGCTTATTCTATTCTTTTGGTTGCTCCTAATCCTTCCCTTTCTGTGAGTGGGGAAGAAGGTGCTTCATTTATAGTGTTTATATGCGAACAAATGACTACTACTTTGATGCTCTCTTTTGGTACTTCAACTTTTTGCTTGTGTTTGTAGTCGATGATTAATTATAATCTATCTCAATGGGGATTTGCTATTTGCAGAAAACATATGCCCTGTTAGAGAGAGTGGTGTGCAGATTTCAAATCGTGGATCTTTTAAGTCTCTCACCTGCATGGTTTGCTCATGCCTTTCACAGATGGGTGATAGTTCTGTTGTTTTCCGGATACTGGAGAAAGCAATACTTGACCTGATAGTAAGTGACTGAACAGCTTGCATCTTCTTTTCCAGCATTTATTTCATCGTACCAATAGCCTAGGCCGTGTAAAAGATTTGAGACTTTCTTGGATAAGTTATTTTTGTTTAGTTTGGTCCCTTTCCCCTGAATTATTTGCAAGCTACGATGCTTGAGGTGGTATTAAAATTTTTTGCAGTCATTGAAGCCACAGCTTGACAATGCATGTGCAATGTTGAGAGTGCTCATCATGCTGGACTCTAAACCCACTAGACTTTCTGAACAGAGTATAATTGCTCTAAGCAATTTCCTTCCTGGATATCTAATGGATGTTGTACATGTAAGTTATTAGAATTTGCCCTTGACATTATTATTATTGTAAATGTTTCCATGTGTTCCATATTAGTTCCTGTTATCTTTCTCATTTCTAGTAGTGTTGCTGGTGGTCATCTATTGGCTCCCTTGATAATTGTATAAACTATGGTATAAATTGTTCTTACTTCTCAGCGCATGTGTATAGGTTTCAAATATGCTACCACCAGAGAAACCAACAAATGAAACTTGCTGTGCATCTGTTGCTTCTACAGCACAACATTTTTTTCTTGATTCTTATTGCCAAATATCCTTTTGTTTTGTGCAGTGTATTCCAGAAGTTGATGGCAATGAAGCCACAGTCTCTAATCATGTGCAGACATGCCGTTATTACCTTCTACCATGCTTTTTCTTGTTTGATAGGAGTAACCAGCTTGTGAAGCTTTTCTTGAATGTTATGGGCTCATCCTTAACTGACAGTAGTTTGTCGTTTGAATCCCATAATTCTACCCAATATGCCACTGACAGTTTAAGTCAGATGAATATAACTGTTTCCCTTCTTCTCTTAATTTATAAGGATGTTAAAGTTCAGAAAATTATGTCTCTATTTAAAACAGAGATTGGCTCTATTATGCAAAGCATAGCTTCTTTACAGGTATGGTTTTGCAGCATGAATTTTTCTTCTATGAATAGTCCTTATCTTTATAAGCAGAACCTGAAATATGTTTGACTTTTTTTGTGTGTTGAACATGATTTAAATTCACATGGATCCTAGGACCTAGATTCCTTTAAACATTTATGCCTTGTAATTGTCTATTACTTATCCTTGTGGCCTGTAACTTCCATTGTGATGTGCCAATCTGATTGTTCAAGTTGTCCGTACATGCATATGGTTTCTGCCAAAATCACATAGTTTAGAAGGCTTTTGGTTTGCATTATTTGGTCTGGCATGCACATCTAAGTTTGTGGTCTTGCACAGTTTGTTAAATGGTGAAAGAAACTTTTGCTTTGGGCAATAGGCCCCCTCTTCTTTCCCTGATTTGGCAATGTAGCTAAGACCTGACAATTTCTTTTTCCTGCTGGGTGTGATCCTAAACAGGATTGGATCTTGTCTGGTCATATGATTTTAAAATTTATGAATGCATTCTTGTACTTATTCTTTGGACATTCTTTGAACACATTTGCTTACACATGCATTTACTTATTTAAAATTTAGGAGCACATTCTTTTGTTACTGTTCATGCAGCAAATTAGCTTGCATTACATACCTCCTTGATCTTTAGTTGTGTGATTAATTTGTGTGTTCTTGGTCTCTTTTTCTATTGTTCCTGCAGTCTTCAGAAGTGAACATGACCATTGAAGAAAGGCACAAATTTCAGTGTTCATTTGAACGGTTAAAGGTTGTCGCCAGTACATCACCAGTGGGTTGATGATCCAGTGAACTTTGAGCATGGTGAGTTTCTTAGTTTTTTTTTTTTTTTGTTGGTACAAAACTGAGTTTCTTATTGAAGAATCTTTGATTGCAACATGCTGTAGATCATTATACTTGTCTTTGTTACAAAAGTTAGCTGAATAACCCATTCTATATTCATTTTTAATTGAATGCATTTGGTTCCGTCCATGTTTGTCTAGCAACACAAGGGGAAATTTACATATGATGGGAGGCTTTAAAAAAAGTATTGAGAGTGGCTAAGATTACAGCTATATGTTACTGTGACAATTATATAGATGATGCTTCCATCAGCCTCTCCCCGTGCATGATACTCACCTTTTGGGCATTTCTTTATTTCTTCATTTACGCATTTTTCCCCATGTCAAGGTCCCTTTGAACCAGTGTTTTATGGAGTATGAAGATTGTTTGTCCACTTGTGTCTATGTATAAAGAAACTTCATTTTTGCTCCTATTTCTAAAGTTAATCAGTAGAAGCCATTAGGCATAAATCTTACATCTTTCACACGAACTTTTTCTTTGCAGCAAAAACACGTTTTCTGCTTTGAGGATGCAGGGGATCTGAGTAATGATGACTCAAAATGAGCAACGATATACTTTGAAGCTGTTGACGATGGGAGTTGTTAATGGCAATGAATCAAGTCAAAATCTTTGCGGGGATATCTAACAATGCTGACATGATAAAAGCAGCAGGCAGTAAGTGGTGCAACTTGATGGCATGAATATCGGCAATTGTGGGAGATCACCTTGTTACCTTTCTCTAATTTTGGCCACTGGTGTTTGCTGTATGAGAGGGAACGGGAAGGAAGGAAGTTGTGTGTGTGAGATGAAGTTTTTGTAGCAATGGAACTGATCCATGGTTCAAGGAGGGGGGAGAAGGCAGGTTATATGTGTGTGTGGTTTCTAAGGTTTTGCTATTATAATTTCCGGGTAGATAGATTATCCTTGTATTCTCAATTTTGGGTGTGGAAAATGAATAATGCCAACTACATTGGTGTATGTGTGTCACTGAAATATATGGAGAATATAAAGCAAGCAATTAATTTATGATTTGGTCCGAACGTGAGTGAGTAGGCATTGTGCTTGTTTTTATTATTTGTGTGGGGAAGAGCATAAGTTTGATTTATGTTTTTCGTTAATAAACAGCGTAGCCGTTGGTCTGTGTGGAAAGAGTAGGACAGGTTAGGATAGGGTAGGATAGGATAGGACGTCTGATTCATTTTTTTTTATAATAATTTATAAAAATTGAATTTTTTTTAAATTTATTTTTTTGTTATTTATATTGATATTACGATATTCGAATGTGACCTTAATTTTTATCGCCAAACTTAAACTTGTGTTGGTTTGCAGGATCAATTTTTGGTGTTTGGACCGCATAGCAAAAAATGTAATCTCAGAGGCAAAAACGCAGCGTTTCACTTGATAAAATAAGGAAAGCTCGGGCCTCAGCGAAGGTGCGTAAACAACAGGCTAATTTGTTTGTTGGGCCAAGATAAAAGGCCTGTGTTTATAAGCGGGAACTCTTTTATCAATTTTTAATTTTTTTAAATCTTTAGCGCCGAAGCATCAAAAGCTCCCTCGTACAAAAAACCTCCAAAAGCAAGCAAGCAATCAATCACCCACCAAAACAAAAACAACAGTAAGATGCAATCCAAAATAAATTCGTTCTTCAAGCACTCCTCCTCCTCTTCTTCTTCTTCAATCGAGTCCCAAAATTCGCCTCCAGTTTTCATCAACGATGAGAACGATGAGTTAGCCACCTGGGAATACAGTCAACACACCATTGTTAACACCTATACGCGTAGACCACCAAAAATTCATGGGTATGTTTTTTTAATAATAAAAAAAGTTATGGGCTTTTTCTGGGTTTTGGAATTTTTTTTTTAAATTCTCTATTTCGGGGATTTTGTAAAGGAATGACGCCAAAAAGGAATCAAGCAACGAGAGACTCGAGAAACCCATTTCAGAGAATGAGTTTTCTAGTAAAGATTGTGGTTCCAATGGGAGAAATCTTAATAAGAAAAGAAGTTATGCACAGTTTCATTTGGAGTTAGGTCAATCTGATTTTCTTCTCCATGCTTGTTCAACTTGCGGGGTTAAGTATTCTCCCGGAGATGAAGAGGATGAAACGAGCCATTCAATTTTGCACAAGAATTTCACCCGTGGAATTCAATTCAAGGTGCATTCGATTCTCGCTTTTCGCTATTTACACAAGTCGATAAGCAAAGCGTGTGTTTTTGTCCAAAAGCATATAGTATGTCTGAAGAATTAAACATTGAAAATTTTTTTACTAGTATTTTTGGATGAAAACAAATGCACGATTTTTCCTTTATACAGGATTATTATATTGAATCAGTGTTTTATCTTAATTATTTGTTCATTTTTAATTACTATGATTTACTTTCGCTTTATACCAACTGTTTCAGAAGCATAAGTAACAATCAAATGGAGTCTTCAATTGCTACCTTAATTTTGTAGGGATGGCGAAATGAGAGGGTTGTTTATATGCCTAAAGTTGAAGGAGGTCGTGTCATTTTGGTTTTGGATTCTGATCCTGTAGCTCAGAGGAAGAAGGTTAAGATTTTGGGGTCTTGAGATTATGGTTACATGGCTTAGATTTTATAATTTGTTGTAACTTAATTATGTATTTGATGATTGTGGGGTTGTATTAGCAGGTGCAAGAGGTTGTGAAGATGATGGAAATTGAGCTTGGTGGGGAATGGATTTTTCACAAGCTTTGTAAGGTGACCTGATTCCGTTTTACATAGTGGTAATTTGGCATATTATGCATAATTTAGAAAAATCCAATTCAATTATCCCCATTTTTTTTAGCAAATAATACTTCTTTTTCCCCAAGTTTCAGCATATACTTTTAATACCCTTTGCTTTTCTCACATTTGACCCAATTTCTATGCCACTGTATCTAAAATCCAAAACAGTTGCAGAGTTTGAACAATCCCTTAACTCCAATGGTTGCAGAGTTGAACAATCAATGGTTGGGTTGATATTAACTATATTTTTTCTTTCACTCTACTGTTTGCAGGTATACTTATTTGTCTTCTCCCAACGAATTGCTGGATGTCTAGTTGCAGAGCCAATAAAGGAAGCATTCAAGGCCCTCTCATGCTCAGTTGGCGAAAGACATGATGGTGCCCCAGCAAAGCAAACAAGGTCAAAATCAAGCAAACTTCAGTTTGGGGATATTGTTTTTCAGAGAGAAGTCGTTAAAAGATGTCCTTCTGAGGCGTTGATTGGAAACCACACTGGAGCAATTTTCTGTGAAAAGGAAGCAGTACCTGCTGTTTGTGGCATTAGAGCAATCTGGGTCACACCTTCCAACAGGAGAAAAGGCATTGCCACTCAATTATTGGAAGCAGTGAGGTAAATCCTTGTACTTTGTAGTTAATGCCAACTGCACTTTCTATACTGGCTTGGGTTGTTTGCGATGTCTGATTGTCTCCTACGTAGTAGTCTGACTCATTGTGGGATGCCTTCATGGAGTTATAATATTTTTAACATGCTTCTTATAGCAAACTAATTAAGAAGGTTATACTTTATATCATGAAGCGTAGCCTAAGGTATTAATCAAGTAGATACTTTTATCACTTTATCTTAATAGTCACAAAGTTTAAAATCAAGACCATCAACTTAGTCAGCGGTTAAAATAGAGTAACCCTTTGCACTAATGGAGTATGCATACTGGTGCTCTACTTTAGACTGATCTGAATCTTTCTATTAGCCATTGTGCACATGTATGCTGCTCATAGGCTATACAAGTAAGTAGCCTTCAGTCGTATACCTTGCTCTGCCTTTTCTCTAAAGACCATATACCATTCTGTTATGATAGATATTGCGGTTGTCATTTGATTTTTAATTCTGATTGATCCTGCAACTTCAACTATACATGGTTTCAACGGATAGGATCATATCAGCAGATTATCAAAAGACTAGAAGCTGAAATTCGTACTTGATTTGTCACTAGAAAAAAAAAGGTTAAAAAATAGCAGTTGCAAAGCAACAGTCTGCCCCTTTAGAGCCATTCTCATTCTCCACGGGGACAACTTTATGTATGCCCTTGCAAAGTTCCCCATTACATGAAAAACTTTGGTGATTGAATTGAAAGAGTGATGTGTTTTTTTGTTCCATTCAATTTGTTTTGACTGTGCAGTTTCTAAATGCAGGAAAAGTTTCTGTATGGGCTTTGTCATTGAAAAATCTCAGTTGGCATTTTCTCAACCAAGTTCAGAGGGACAGGCATTGGCATCCAACTATATAGGCACAGGATCTTTCTTGGTTTATAAAACTGGCAATTTGTGCTCCTAGATAATTATCCCTTCACCTCTGCATTCAATGCCCAAATTCATTGTTTTATTTGTTGGAAAGATGTGGCATCTCTTTCTATTCGAAAACATTTCTACAAAAAGTTTATAACCAACCATACCAATAATTTTCCATCTTGAGTGTATCATTTCTTTCCTTCATATTCTTCCTGTTAGGCTGAGGTCTTTTTGAATAAGATATCATTTGTTTTTTTTTTTGGATAAATTAGGTGGCAGTTTTATAACTTTCTCTTATTACTTGTGCCTATGAATAATTGATTTTTGAGAATTACAAGGGAAGAATAAATAGAAGGCCATTCAAGAGCAATGGGCGTAGTAAAAGGGATATCAAGAAATAAAAAAGATTGGTACAACCATGGTAAAATTTTTACAAATTTATACTTTTGGAATTATGAAAATTTATTAATTAATTGAGATATTATTTAATCAATAAATTAATAATTAATAATTTATATATTAATTAATAAAAAATTAATTTATTAAAATATTTTATTTTTTAAAATATTGAATTTAATATATTTATTTTTTATTGTGATTATATGAATATTATTTAATTATTGAATTATGAATTATTATTATTTATGATTTTAAATTATTAAGAATGTAATAATGAAGTTGAAGATGATAGTTTTGTATCGAAATTTATCTCGTGTAAAGATGCATTTAAAGAAATTATTGTATTGTATAATCTTTTATTATAATGCGAGAATATTACATTAGAACTTTTTAATACATTAAAAAAAGTTAAAAGATGAGACTTAAGGAGATATTAATTTTTTTTAAAAAAGTAACATTAGAGTAATATTTTATAAAAGTTTTGTAATTGAATCATGTAGATATATAATTTTAATGTATAAGAAGGTTATTAATTTATATATCAAGTGTGATTTATGTGTTTTTTAAAAATGTATTATCTTATAAATTTAATGAATTATTAATTTATCATATTAGTCTTAAATTAAGATTGGTCAAAAATATTATTTAATTAAGATTATTAATTTATCAAATATTAATTTAAAGAAGTTTTATCTTGAGGTTAAGCTGAGCAAAATTAGGTCGAAATTGAAATAATTGATCGAATTAGTCAAATTCAATCAATTTGATTTAATTATAATTTGATTAGGAAATTTAGTTATTTTGATTTGTTAGGTTAATTTTTATATTAAAAATTTCCAATCAAAATGATCGAGTAAATGGATCATTTAAACTAAAGATTTTAGTTATGGCAGTTTCTGTTTCCTCTTATAAGTAATAATCTTAGGAAATTTGGTTTTATTTACTTGCTATTCATGGATAGACAGTGAACTATGGTTTGGGGTCTGCTTCCCCACGATCCAAGGTTACTACTCCCATTTTCCTCTCTTGTTATTAGTACTAAAGAAAGTTTTAACACAAACCCACATTTCCCACTTCATTTTGCATTTACATACTCAGATTATTACCTTCTCCCTACTGGAAAATCGAAATCATCAACCTAACTAGTTCGGTTTTTGGTTATTTTAATTCTCCCATGTAGTTCCCTTGGTTCTTTTCTCTCCCATGGTAGTTCGGTTTTCAAAATTTTCAAACTAAACCAACCGAACCGATCGAATGCTCACCTTTCCCTAAAAGTCTAGTGAGACGAGAGAAAAGGAGAGAGATGCACCAAGAAAAGGTAACGTACCAACTCAATTCCTGTTACAAGACAATGAACATGAATCTTGAATATCCTCCAGAGTCAAAAAGAGAGAGAGGGTAATGATCGCCCGTGAACAAAAAATTCTGGTTTCATTCTATAAGAAACTTTCATTCAATCGCATCAGGTTGATCACAAAAGTTTCCGACATTATTTGCAAAATTAGGATGCTTGACCCTGCATAAAAGTCAACTCCTTTACTTTACTTACCTACTTCTCCCCCATTAGCTTCTTTTACTGTTGACTGCTCTTCATCTGTATCCAATGATAAGTAGGGGCTGAATACTTCCAGAACTTGTTCATACACTGGCTTCTTGAAATCCACAGCCTGCTCCAGTATAGTTTTTGAAGCATTACTCAATGATAAATACCAGATTCCCAATAGTATGGGTTTTATAAAAATCATATATAAAGTATCCGGCAACATGAGCTACTCACAAGCTCCACAACTTGTTCTGGTAACCTCCATGACCACTCTTTAAACTCTGGCTTCTCAGAACCATCACCCAAAAGATTGATCTCTTCTTCATTTCCAGTGAACTTAAAAAGAAACCTGCCTCAGGAGCATCAAAGAAAGTCCAAAATAAAGCATGGATTTTAATCAGATTTCAAATTTGAAGGTTACGAAATAAATTTGAAGAAAGATTGGTGTTTGAATAGGATGGCTAACCAACTCTACATTCAAAAATTTACAATAAAAACTGAACTGTGCTTACTGCAAGTTACATGGGAGCAAGATGGGTGGTTAGTTGCTTCAGTGCTTACCTTTCATGTGTCATATGGATAAGAAAGGTAAATCCTGACTAACAAGCAAAGGTAATCAAGATGCGGAAAAGGCCAGAAGAAAGGTAAACACGGATAGGACATAGCACCCAAAAGTTAATGAAAAATACACAAGAATGTAATTTGACTTAGAGTTGATACTAACTATAATCAGTGCATGACACAAAGCAACTAATTATCTCACAGTTCATAGTAAAAATTCACAAACAATAATGGCAGCCAAAGCATTAGGCAGATGTCCACATGAGCAATCAAACTTTAAAGTCAGGTGAACGACACAGCTGTAGTTGATGGAAGTAATACGATGATGTTCAATATATCTGATGCATCAGTCTAGTTGTCTGTAGTACAGATAGTATCCTTACCACTTCTGTGCTTGACCTCTATACTTTGTACCCCATTTACGATTAAGCTTATTTTTTACTTTGATTGGGAAATCATAAGTCAGCCAATAAGGTGCCTGTGCATTGAATGTCAGAAATCAGTTTAATAACTTTCAATAAGTATGTAACAGAGTAATTGTTTCATCATTTGACATGTGACATAGTAACAGAGATCTATATCAATGCAAAAAGTCTTGAAACATGCCTCTGCAACAAACTCAGCTGATATAACGCCAGTTTCTTCTCTCAGTTCCCTTATGGCTGCTTTTCTAAGATCTTCGCCATTATTAGCACCACCCTGCACAACACAAACTCACGACAATCAGCATAAGCACGTGACAAAGTCTATCGGATCCAAAGACGGAGAAGCCAATGAGAATAAAAAATGGTCATGCTACAGAACTCCAACAGTCCCAGGGTGAAGAGAACAGTAATGATAGTGACATACAGCATAGCCTACATATGCCTTAAGATAAACTACAATTCTATCTTATTCCATTTTATTTATATTCATCAAAGATTCCATGTCCACCTAAAATAACTTCAGAAGAAGAAAATTAAGTTTTCACCAATCTTATGACGACTAGGGTCAAAAGCGTGCTTCTGGACGCTTTCAGTGAAGTCTCTAAAATCATGCTTAGATACTCCATAGTTGTTTTAAGGGACACCGACACCGGAAGCATTTGCTCTCAGCTCCAAAGAAGAATCCATGAATCATTCCCAAACTATTTTCCACACAGCATTCCTTGTTAGTAACCGACATGACTGTGCTGCAACCAATAGATTACAACACCAGTTCTACCTTACTAAGTCTAACATGAAAAAAAAAAACGCATTATCCGATTGAAAAATGCAGGAACTCAGTCAATTTAAACTGCAGAACCAGTTGGGAAATGGTGAACAAATATAAAAAAGAACGGCAAAAAAAAAATCAACCAATGAAATCCTATCAACAAGATAAACCCAGAAATTTCAGAAAAAGAACCAATACCTGAGGCATTTGCCAGGTGTTAGGGATATGTATCCGGACGCCGTAAATATTAAAAATCAAATAAAAAAACTTTCAAAAAGCAAAAACATCATATTGAAATTAACCATCGAGAAAATATAGAGATAAAGGGAGACCTTTTTAGAGGGATTAGAAGACAAATTCCGACATTTTTCCTATACCCGTCGGAGGACCTTCAACGGACAACAAAGCCGAGGTGTTGTCAACGGCGTGTGCAGCAGATGATACAACAGTGGCAGCCCGGAAAGTTTACCCAACTTACAAGGGCAGTTTCGTCTCTCAGTCACTAAAACACCGAATTTCCATCAGTTGACACCTGCCATTTTACTGCGTCGTTTGCGAGTCTGACCCTCTCCACGCCGAAAACCCAATCCAAACCAACCCTCTTTACTTGAGCCCAAGTTTCTCTCTCTTCTTTAATTATCATCAAATGACGAAACTCCCGACACACCTCCCCAGCTTCCCCTTACGTATCTTCCTTTTTTTTTCCAAAATTACCTCACCGCCTTCTCTGAAATACTGTTTGGTATCCCGCCCTTAAACCCCCGGCTTTATATATAAAACCTTTCTCTTTCTCTTAACACTATGCTTTCGGTTTTCTTTTCATTTCTCTTCATCTAAATTCATTCTGCCTTGAGCTGACCTCATAAACATGGTGGAGGCCGCAGGTCGGGGGGCAGGAGTTCCTTTCCGGTCGTGTTCTTCGACGGAGAGTGCGAAACCGGTATAGGAACGTCGTTATTAATCCCGCTATGGATTTCAAGGCTTCCAGTCGATTCTCAGCCGTATGATCGAATCCTCATCATCATTCTCCGTCTACATCGCCGACAGAAACAATCGCGCAACCGTGTCCCTATCACCGGAAAGTCAATTCTCGGCGGTTTCGCGGAAAGGACTGTTTCTCTCGTCGTATTGAAAAGATCGCGGCGGTCAGGGACAAGAAAGGGAAAGAACGAAGAACCGTCTCCTCAGCGGCGGCGATTAAGAAGGAACTGCCCACGAACGTAATGTTGTTGAGGCGCGGCCGTGTGGAGGTAATTTTGATGGACGCGAGGGTATTTACGGGATTGGATGAATTTGAGAGGAGGGTAAGGGGACTGGCAGATGAGAAAGAGAGGATTTGGTGAATTTGGGAAGGGTAAGTTCGAAATTTGAAAGGGAATCGAAAAGCTCGGTTTGTGAAGAGTGCGAGGATGCTAAGTGTGTGGGAAGAGCTGCTGGGTTTCATTGGTGCGTTTACGACCCTGTTACATTCGGGTTCCGGTCAAACGCAGGTCCGATTGCCCCACCGGAAAGGTCCCGGTTAATTTAATATATAATAAATATATATATATATATATTTATATTGGTGGAAAAGTGTAGAAGTGAAAGGATTGGATTACAATGTTTTTTTCTTTTTTGGTGAGCCCCTGGTGAAAGAGGGTTTGCTTTGAAAGATGAAATATTTTAGGCACTTGGTGGACTGTTTTGCCATGATTTGAAAACTGATTGCCTTTTTTTAAAAAAAAAAAAAGAAAAAAGGAAAACTGCAGGATGAAGGCGCTTTGGTTTTTTACTTGATAAGGAACATAGGATGAGAATTGAAGGAAAATTAGCAAGTTTGACAACTTTGTGTTCCCAACCCAAGCGGCAATGGGAAAAAGTTGGGAATTTAATTATGGTTAATATAAGTTTTCTTGTTTTGCTTTATTGTGTATGTATGGTATGGTATGGTATGGACACAATCTATTGGGGATTCGATGGATAAATCTATTGGGGATTTCATTTTATATTTCTCCCTTGGTCTCAAATTTGGTAGGGGCCTTTAGTCACCTCCCATTCTAAATTTTAAGTTCGTGAGACAAAGTTGAGGCCCAAGCATTGGCCTTATCTTTCTAAGATGAATCTTACGCCAATTATTCACATGCAAATGCCATCTCCATTCACTTTTCTATAGGATATTTGTGATTTCATTAAAATTAAAATATTTTTGGAGTTGTTCAATAGTTGAGTTTCACACCCAACTCTTCCAATTTGATCCAACCTTAGGTATAAATTTTTAGGTACTAGATTTAAGATTGCACACCATTCAAGAAAATCATTTTTGATTATTTTATTGTATTTTGATTTTTCCAAAATCGAGTTGAAGGAGAATCCAATTTTTTTAAATGAATCTTTCAAATATTATTTTTAATTTTTTACTTAAATTAAAAATTGAAATAAACATTTTTTACAGAAAAAAATAACAAATAACATAAAAATTACATTTCACTCGGATAATTTCAATTGTTTACTTTATGAAACCGAAAATCGAAACAAACCAGAATAGAATATTCCGTTTTCTCCAATACTAGATTGGCGCAGTGAATACAAATCATGCTACAAGTTACCGTTAACTTATTGGTATCATGGTCATATTTGACGCATAATTTAATTTTTTTTTCAAAAGAGGAAGTACATTTTTAATTTTAATTGCATCTTTCTACTAAGAAGAAAAAAGAAAATTCATGTTTCTCTTTGATGAAACGTTGTAAGTTTAACGTACAATTGAACATCAATAAACCAACACAAACTCATTTTTCAAGGCAAATTCATATATATAATATATATTAAATATACAAAATTGTTTTGCTTTTATGTAAAAATAATAGATTACAAATGTTTTTTTATGAGTTTTTATAATTTGAAAGGCTGTAAATTTTTTAATTATCAATATTACAAAATATATATTTTTTCTCTAAATATGTAATTAAATAATTAAAATATCAAAATATAAATAAAATAATTATTGACTTCAATATGTTGGAGCTTTGGGAGAAGAAAGAGATACTACCAATTGTTTTTTTTTTTGTTTTTTTGTTTTTCTCTCATAAAATTACTTACATCTACCAATTCTTCTGTTACATTTTTGAGTGAACCAAGCATGAGCTAACGAGTAACCAATAAATTTAGGATTTTCCCACAAGATTTCAGAGTCAAATAATCTTTCTTTTCATTTAATTTTCAATAAAAGTTTTCATTAATTAATATATTACAAAAAACAGCTTTATATATATATAGAGAGAGAGAGAGAGATGTAAATTTCAAAATAATTACAGACACTTACGTGTTCGAAATTTATATTTTATATGATAAGAATTTCGTTTATAACAGAAAAGGACTTGTGCTATACAACGGGTGTATAAAATTTTATAAACAATTGTACAAGAAATTAAATAAAACAATTGAAATTAGTGATATTTTTGTAAATTTTTTAAAGAAATTAAAATGAAATTATTTATTTATAAGGAAATTATTATTCAATCTACAAAAATAAGTTATTTATAATAATTTAGATACAATAACATCTGTGTTATTTTTAATATTGTTATTTTTGTAGATTTAATAATAAATTTCCGTCTATTTATAATGTGGGGAAAATAGAAAAGAAACAATAAAAGATATCTTGAAAAGTAGTGTTCATTATAAAATATATCAAAATTTGAATGAGAGGAGAAATAAAAAAAATTAAGGTTAGCATCAAAGCGTCGCATATAACCATATATCTGAATTTATGCTACATATATAATCCTGCACAATAGCTAAGAACAGTGCATTATAGATCACAAGTTTATCCAAGAATGAACAAACTTAACCAATTACGCTAATTAATTCATTAAATTGACAATGTGAGGATATTTTTCACTTGAAAATTATGACACTCTTTATCTTCTATCAGTCCAACCTTTCCTCCCCTTGTACAACATGAGAATTATCAACAATGCATATTCTGATTAAGGAACAAATTTTAATTTATGATTTAAGAACTGAAAAATTAAAAGGGGTTTATCTAATTTTTTAAAAAGGTACAAAAATGGTTTTTTTTTTTTTCCTTTGGCTTGTTCAGCTCAGAATACAAAAGACCAAAGCTCCCTCAGTTTTAAAATTGAGAGGCTTTGAGAAACCCCAATAGTGCTCCACATTATAACAGATTGTAATGTAAAAAGGAAAAAGCCCTTTCTCGTTCTCTTCCATCCTTTCTCTCTTTGCACATCAATGTGTATGTCATGCAAGCTAATCGCTTTAACTTAGAGCAACTACTTTCAAAATTCTAAAGTTGAAAAGCTTGGTAAGGTTAGACATGTCTGCAAAAATAGAACTAATTAAAGAAAATTCAAAAAAGTAGGAAAAGAAGACCTTGAGTCCGTTAATAGAAAGAAGACCACTGAGGATGCATTCCTTGAGAGCAGTTTTCGGCACTATGGCATCCTACTCTTTATCTATGGCTTTCGGCTGCTTCTATTGCTGTTCAAAAATGATCAGAAAAGACAATAAGGAGTTTGCGTTTCTCAGGTACTCACTTTCCAAAACCCAAGCAATATGTTGAAGAACCAAAATTACAGAGTCCATCAATGAGAAGGGAGGGTAGATTAGGAAGAAAGTAGAAGAAGAGAACATGCTCCAGAAGTCTCTAAAGAATAGTTGAAAAGAGAGGGGAAAATGAAGAAAAGATCAAGAAAACAAAGGGAGAAGACGAGAACAGAAGCTTCCAAAGAAAGGAGAAGTGCAAAACCCCAAAAACACCATTGTGTTGAAAAAAACTCGAAAATACCCTTAACTTTTTGTCTAAATTATCAAACTATATTGGGTTCATGTCTAAAAGCTTGGAATACCCTTTGAACATGTTAAAATACTAAGGACACATGTCCCGTATAGAGGGAATATGTAGGTAAGATTCATTATACTTTTAGATTATACACTTCTACTTTTCCTTATCTTTAAATAGTGAAACATGCTATAATAAATTCAACCATTCTTTTTTGTAGCTACCTCTTTTTGATATATTTTCATTGTGAAAAACTATTTATATTTAAGTTGCATTTGGTAAGATTGAAATGTTTTTTCAAAAATAATTTTTAATCTTTTTCTCTTGTTTGAAGGGAAGAAAATTTTTAAGAATATAAAATATTTTACAGATCAATGAAAAATATGATAATAATCAATGTAAAATGCCTTACATTTAAGAATGACGTAAAATATTTTCCATCTATCTTCTCTCCTTTCTTATTAATTC